TGACAAATTGTCTTTTAAAATTTGGAACAGTTAAATGTATTAAAGCTGAAAGATGCACTCTTTCTTCAACATTTCTCTTGTTATTACCGCTCTAAATGACTATTGATGAAATTCTTTTTCTACTTAGAGGCTTCTGCAAATCAGACAAAGAGAATATTATGAAACACTCCCCTCCAGGATGTCTTTTTTTTTTTTTAAGAAAAGGTCACAAGACTATTGCACCAACCGTCCAACCACCTCCTCCATTAAACCTCTTTCTCTGGATTGAATTAATTGTTCTTTCAGAAGTTTCTGTACTCCCTCCTCTATCACATGGATCTAAAAATAATAACAGGCAGACACAGATCTTTTTTTTCCCTCTAACCACCCATAGTAAGCATCCACATATCAGCACACCTTTTCTATCCCTGCTGACGTGCTTTGCCAAATAACATGTTTTTTAGCATTGTTAAGTTAAGCATGTTACTGCTTGTGGACGTGCAAACGCACAATATGTGAGATTGACTCCAGTCGGGCCGCTCTCTGAACATGGGTTTTAATTCTAGTTATTAGCTTTTTCCCTCTCGATGCATTTATCCGATGACTGTCACCCAGCTGTGAAAGATATATTCTTCTCCTCAAAACATCCCAAACTAGGTTTTCACTAAAATGCAAGCCCAGATGCAACGGATTTCAGTTTCCCATTGTTATTTTAACAAACCTCCCTCTATTCACCCTCGCTCGCCTCGCTTCCTCCTCCATCCATCACCAGTGGCCAGAGGCATTCAGTCCAACAGAGAAAGCGAAGCAATCGATACCAATGCTTTATGCGTGATATGGGATACACCCCCAAGTAACAGTTCAAACGCCCCCCAGATCAATAAGCCCATCAAAACACAAGTTTCCATGACCATCATCCAATGAAAATCTAGATACGGTGGCAGAGCTGCTAGGAAGAAACTCATGAGGTGGGTTTTTTTTATACTCACTAAAAGCCACAACGAGGCAGCTGCAACCAATCTCTGGCTGGGATATCATACACTGTCAGCCATTAAGAACGGATAATTAGATATGATTGGTGCATGCTATCTATCTTACTTTGAATCTGGTTTCTTTGAAGCTTCAGGCAACATCACTGTTCGATGCACTGCTCAGACCTTCAGCATACATAGACAGAATCCTTATTAGTGGCCTCTGATATGTTTCAGACACATCTGTGAAAACCAAATGGGCTCATATTTTCTCCTGAAAATCAGATATAAACGTCTCAGCTGAATCAACTCAGTGCAAAATTTGTTTTCTTGCAATGTCAACATGCACGGAGAGATAGCAAACCGTGAATGAGCATTAAAAAGACTTCGGACAGGTGCAATTTGGAGCATGGTACAGTTTAATTAGCTTAAAGCAACAAGAGAGAAAGCAGACTTCACGGAAACCCATTGATTTTGTGACAGAGGCTGCATTCTGTGGAGAAGACTTGATGGATGCCTTCCAGGCATACAGCTTTATCAGCAGCAAGGCTGGCATAATCTCCCTGCAACTGAAAACAGATTCTGCTGCTGTTAGACTACACTGTGATCACACCATTTCTGTTTTCCTCAGCAGACCGCATCTTCATTTTTAACCAGGTTTGTTAAGCAAATTCAGCTGACCCAACAGCAAAAGATCTGTTGATTATTTATTGTATTGATAAACCAATCTCTGCCTTTTCCAGCTTAATCTTTTTCAAATTCACAGTCGAAAAAGACTTCTTATTTCTTGGAATCTTGGCTTCCCCCTCCCTTTAAGAAGCCTTGCTCCTGATTGGTTGGCCCTCACAAAGCAAAGGTAACTGACCTCATTTTTAAAAACTTCATCCATGTTCAGTATGAGCATCTGAAGTTGCATCTGAACAAACCACCAGACTTATGGAACGATGTCCTTTGGACAGACAAGACCTAAGTAGAGATGTTATAATCGTCATAATGCACAAAACCAAACCCAGCAGATCAGCACAAACACCTCATACCAACTATGAAGCATAATGCTGGAGGGGTGATGATTTGGGCTTGTTTTGCAGCCACGGGACTTGAGCACCTTGCAGTCACTGAGCCGACCACGCACTCCTCTGTATAACAAAGTATTCTAGAGTCAAATGTGAGGACATCTGTCCTACAGCTTAATTTTGGCTGAAATTGGGTCATGAAGCAGGACAATGATCCCAAGCACAGCATCAAATCTGCAATAGAATTACTAAAAAGAAAAAAAGAAAAATCAAGGTGCCAAGTCAAAGTCCAGACCTCAACCTAATTGAAATGCTGTGATGAGACCTTAAAACAGCGATGGATAAATGAATGCCTGCAAATTAAAATGCAAGAGACTGATAAAGTCATACAGTACACAATTACTTCAACTTATTGCCATTAAAAGTGGTTCTACAAGCCACTGGATCGTGGGGTCTTGCAGAAACGTCAATTTTCATAGGACTTGATACAATAAGGTTAAGCATAACAGGCCCACTTTAAAAATTTGTCTAGCTATCCTAATCCCATAAGCTGTTCATCTACTTTTCTTTGAAAAATGTTGTAAGATTGAAAAAAAAAAACAATGGACAATAGACAACAAAAATAGTGTTTTTTTTCCTCAAGCTTTTCAAACAATGAACCACTTGCTGATCTCTTCTGAGATCAGCAAAAAGAAAAAAGCTCATGAAATTTTGAGTGTACGCCATTGTTCAATCATTAAATATGTGTAAAAAACAAAACAAAAAACAAGGTCCTTTTTCTATTCCATATGCTGACTGAAACTTGTTACAAACAGTGCTAATACTCATCCTTTCTATCCTGGAGTTTCCAATGTTGGATACTATTACAAAATGCAAACTACATCATTTTTTAAAGGTTGCCAAGCATAGCACCAAAGAGGTTGCGTGGTACTGCCGTAGCGGAAATAGCTGTAGAATTTGTTATGCTTTATTTATGTTGCATCTATATTGGTCGAGGTTCAGTAACACCCGTGTTTGCAGGCTCGGTGTTACAAGGCAGGTATTTATTGTTTAATTTAGAGGTTTTTATGAGTCTAAAGTAAAAATGTGAGTTCTGTTTTGTTTGTTTTTTTTGGGGGGGGGGGGGGGGGGGTAATCTTGCTATGGACAGATGATATACGAAGAAGAGACTTATTGCATTTCAAAATTCTACAAAGGGCGTCTTATTCACCGAGCCCAAGATTATTGACATTTGCTGGTTGTTGTTTTTTTTTTTTTAAGATTTGATATATGAAACTGCCAGCAGACCAGACTTAAAGTCTCACAGTAAATGTTGAAAGTAATGTGTGAAGCCTGCAAAATTATGAAGAATTCTCACAAGAGATCTTTATATGCTGCCAGATAAACAAACAAAAAACCTTCAGGAGCTACAGGATGATGATTCAGTTCAGTTTGTGAAGTACTTTGGAAATCCCAAATGACAGTGGCCAGCGTTGACAGTCACAGTGAAACCTGATCCTACCACCTAATCCTGACCAAATCCCTGAGGGTTACTGTGAATGACTGTGTACCAGCAGGCTGGAACACAGCATTCGCCAGACCAGAGGCTAAACAGCGCAAGCTTTACCCTCACATATTGCCTCAGCTGCCTCGTGAGACCAGAGAAACTAATTAATTGTCCCACATCCTTAACCCACTTGAACAAAATGTTTAGAGAATGTGAAATCATCAAGGAGCGACAGATTATTTCTGCTCCAGTATGGCAGTTTAATCCATACAAGAGGTCCGGGTCGAATGCCATGCTGTATATGGCTACCGAGGCATTGAGTTAGGAGACATTAGGTTTAATTGTCACGGCGAGTGAGATGAGCCGTATAAAAATAATAAATGAGGATCCAATTGCAGGCAGTAGTGGAGGAGTGAAGGTGGTTTATTGGACACGAAATAAATATAGACAAACAGCAAATGGAACACGAACTAAACTAGACTGGAGACAACTAAACTACTGAATACAAACCGGAACTCAAACATGAAGCAAGGTGGACGACGGTACAAGATGGTGACAGCAGGGAAACACACAGATGACGCAGGGTGGAAACACAGACGGACCAGCAACAACAATGACGGAAGACATGACTTAAATACACAGAGAACCACAGGGGAATTACACACAGGTGGTGGACACAGCTGGGAATAATCAACAAGACGAGACAAAGGTAAAAATGAACACACTCACATGAGACGCAGACCTTCACAATAAAACAGGAAACAAAACACACTTTACTAAGACACAGACTAGACAGAGACAGACTTGAAATGACATATGAAACTAAACCCACATCTTAAACCCAGATAAACAGAAACATGGAACTCTAAATAGACATAAACATTACCATAACACGACAAGAGAACAAGAACACAATCCCTGATGCAAACTTAAATCAAAACACAATAAACTCAAAATACTGGGTCCAACGGACCCAGAACCGTGACATTAATGTTTGCCCACAAACTTAACATCAACAACAACTAAAAGCACATAGGTAAGATTTCCATAAAAGTGCTGACTTAAAACATACATTTCAGGTATTTCCATGTTCATGTTAATCCTGTATAAGACTGTATATGCACAGAAACCTTTAAAAGCAACAGGAAATGCTCAGATTTAGCTGGTGATCATTCTGTGAGTCCAATTTTAATTTGTGCTTTTTTGACATCAAATCTAAACCAGTTAAAATTCAAAGAAAATCAGTTTATAGGCAACTGCTATATTAATAATTTCACAAAACAGGATTGGTGTACCTTGAAGTAAAGCCTGCAGTACAAACCATTATCCTTCAAAGACACAACAGAGACACACTGAATCCAATTAAGCAGGAACAATAGCGGCCTCAAGTGTATTGCCTTGTTTTCATTTCCATTACAGCTGTTCCACTTAGTTGAGTATGCACACTATAACTCCCTGCAATAATATGATCATTCTCTTACTTCAGCACCACAAAAATAAGATTTTTTTGGTCGTAGTACATCGTTTGTGTTGATGCCATCTCCCACTCACCTCTTTGTTTCTTGCTTCTCGGCCCACTCACACCTTCCCTAAAGCTCCTCAAAGCTTTTCGTGCATCGAGTAGCTCCTTCCTGGACATGGCTCGTGTTTTTCTCTTGTAAAATCCTTTAAAAACCCAACCAGATGGCTACTCCTGCCCAAAATAATTTCTTCCAGCACAAGCTCTTTTCTATTAAAACCTTGCTGAGAACATAGGAACTTCCCAAATTTTTCCAAAAGGCCTTCATTTCTCAGAATCGTCTTTTTCTTATAAAGATGCCTCAAAATGGCTTCTTCTCTAGCATGAAATGGGGAAGTAGTCCTGCAACGATGCACCACCTTAAGATAGCTGCTAAACCTCCAAACTTTGTCATGTTCAGCCCATACCCCTCTCCCTGTACCCCCTGAAGTCCTAACGTTGACTGCCAACTTCAGTGGTCTATTTCAAGTCCTGCATAGTTCACCCCCTACAGTTGTACTTTCCCTCTGCACCCCCTTTCACAGCACTTGCCCACCCTTGGTTATAGCAGGAGATTAAACACACGGCAACACAGAACGACCTTTCCTGTCCTCTGTGAGTTGCTCTGTTTGGACCACGGGCAGTTTTGAAACTCTAGTGCATGGCAGATATGTTGTAATGCACCATTAATGATATAGTATAACACCTCATGCATTATGGGACAATGAGACAGTTACGGGGAGGATTGCCGAAGAGTGGCGGCCCTATTTCAGACAGCTATGTGCTCATGAACCTTGATGCTAGAGGTTTTTATAACACTGTAGCCTTGTCCCACTTAAAGATGAAGTTTAAACTGAACTCTGTGGCCGGATGGAAAGATTAACACAAGTATATGAGTGACTGTGGAATTCAGTGACATTGCTGTTTCCTGAATAAGAATAACAAACCTGATCACGGTGTTATTGTTAGTCTTGTACAGCAGGACTGAACCTTCTGTGACTATACCTTCCATACCACCGTGACTGGCTTTTATATTGGTTGGAGCTCCACTTTGTACATCTTTCAAACATTTTAACTGATCATCTGCATCCAGAAAGAAATTGTTTAAATCACCGTGTGTGACTAAGCCGATGATTTTTCACCTGGCTGTATAGACAACATGTCTTTGTTGTTCGGTCATCATCTATGGCATCTTGGGCTCCTCTGATTTACTTATTAGCCCATGTTGATAGTACACATTCTTTCTTTATGTTAGTGTAAACTGCTAGATGACATTCCAGGTTTTAGTTACCTAGATAACCTTGTAATGTATTCCTAGCTTGTCGTATGTCAGCCAACAGTAGCATTAGCCCTCATTGATAATGACTTCAACTGTTCGTCTCAAAGTGGAGAAAAACCTATCTCGGGATTTGCCCACTTTGCATTGTTAGCAAGTCTTTCGTCCATCGTCACTGGATGTCAGTAATATTCTGTGGATAAATTTACTGATTGCGTCTTTCAAGTACCTCAACTTTTTAAACTCCCTGTGAGACAGATTAAATTGTGAAGCTCTTGAGAGAGTAAGAATATCTATAAAACAGACATCACCCGTGTAAAAACAAAGCAAATGCAGAAATTATTTAACTGCCTGCTTTTCCCATCTTTGGCTTGTATTTGGCAGCTTTGCAAATAACACTTGGAAGTCATTGTCAACAGGATTTATCAAGTTCCACCTTAAATGTAAACTGAACGTCTGAGAATAATATTGCAGCCAGAGCAAGAAAAAAACAAAGATTAAAGCAAAGTTGTAGCTGTGTTATGTGTTATGAACCCTTAGATGTCTCTGGATGTCCTTTATGTCCTTACCTAAGCTTGGGTGCCTTTTTCTAAAGAACTTTTCAAATGTTACCTTATCAGTAACTGCAAGTCGTGCCTGACATGTTCACTCACACCACTGTGTCACAGTTTTTACAATAATTTACTGTAAAAGTAGCTTAATAAAAAAACAAATGATGGTCAATTTGCCATTTCCTGCTGTTTCATCAAACTGCTAATCCAGCCTTATGATGTGTGACGGCACATTAATGCTGTACGACAGAAGGTGACATTAATAAAGCAGTGTGGGCTCGTGACACTGGACCGCTCTGGTTTCTGGTTGGTCTGATCGCTCAGGATGATATCTTAAAGTGACAGACCTGAGTGTCTGACTCACTGAGTGATGCTCAAAAGCAGCCAGAACACGCAGTGACTGTTCCCACATGGGCAAGTATACACTAAGCCCCTCCAATCCCAGCGCACCCTCCTTTTCTCTTTATTCATCAAGCTGAGCGTGATTGAGTGTGACAGTGCTGCGTCTTGACCGTGGCGAAGCTATAATTATCTGTGATGTCTGCTGGTGCAATCAGAGAAGGGGGCCGACGGCATCCACACATCACTAGAGCACGAGCCCTCTGGCCGGCACGGCACATACCGGGCCATAAATAACCACAAGGAGAGTGAGAAGAGGGGAGATGTAAGAGGGAGGCAGTGGTCAGGAAGATAAGAAAATAAAACCTACAGGATGGATAAAAATAGAGAGGCAACAGTGAATTGTTGGTTTTCACGTAAGTAGCAAGAAAAAAAGAGAAACAAAGCCTCTTTTGTCCAATTTAGGCCCCTGTTTGACATGTGCAAGTATATCATTATGTCCTCTAAATCGAATTTATGCTGTCTTTGTTATCACATAGACAGAAAGCTACCTTCAGCAATTTCTTTGCCACAAGAGGTCGCCACATGTAGCTACACAGGTTCAATTTGGCAGGTTGAGTTTTACGCCCTTCCTGATGTAACCCCATCTCTGGCTGGAATTGAACCAGCAGCCTTTCGTTTGCCAAGCAAATGTTTTAACCACTACACCAGAGTTTAAAAAAAGAAGCCTGAAAGTGAATATTTAGAGCAGCCTGAGCTTTTGGCTCTTAGCGATTATTTGCCCATGAGCTTATTATTTGAATATTTGGCCATGTTTAATAATCTGAACATGCCAGCAGTGTATATGAAGTATGTTTCAGAAAATAGGAAAAAGCAAGAGAGGTCCACGTGACTGTTGTGTCCCACGACAGTCACATCCAACTTAGTTCTTTATTTTAGTGATTTAAGTCTGATTTAAGGTGTTAAGTGTATTGCTCTGTGCATAAGGAGAAAAAACTAAAGCAAACAAACTGAGAAACTATGCACGGCTTAATGTTGAGGATCATTTTCAATCAGTCCAAAATGAGCAGAGGGAGAATAAGATAACGATATTAGGTAGGTAGCCGTAAAGAGGTAGGTAGCCGTGATAGATCAAAACCAGAAGAGAGAGACAGAGAGTGCAGAGGAGCTGAGTGATACAGTGCACCAGCTGGACCGTACGTGCCAGCTCATAGTGTGAGAGTTGCTGACATGTGAGCTCAGCAGTCAAATTTGTAGACAGGACAGGGCACCGAGACTGTGACGAAATGTTCCCAGCAATACAATGATCGCACGGCAAGCCACACAAAGCACTCAAAGTGATGATGCAAACTGGCTGTGAGTGTTCAAACCTACTAAACATCACAGAGATAAGCTTGGAAAATTAGGTCCAGTGCTCTGACTGTCTACTAAAGGCACTGAAAGACTTGGATTCATGTGAAGTTTAATGTGACATTTGTGCCCAAAATGTTGGTTTTAAGTGGTCAGAATCAGAATACTTTAGTAACCCCACAGAAAACGATGTAATTTGATAATATGTAAGATTTTCATGTAATTTTTTTTTATGTAAGTACAATATAAAATGGTAAATTTCATGATATGCATTCACTTTATATCAAGCATGTTTTCTTTAATGATTGAATATTTGAATAAATAAACCTTTTATTTTACATATTTTTGTTGTATTTTACTCTAAATTATGAATAATCCTTTTTTTAGTGTACAATCTGGTAGTATGTTCCTTCTCCAGTAGGTAACAGCACCGTGGAGCCAAGATGGGCTGCGTTATTGTATTTCTGACTACTTTTTTCAAGTAACTAGTAATGTAAGGGATTACTATTGCAAAAAAAAGTAATTAGATAACTGTTACTTTCCTGTAAACACGCTGCGTTACTGCGTTAGTAAACCATCGTGATTTTGTTTGTGATAGCATCTCATGACACTGACGTAAGCGCGTGCGATGCCCGTCGCAGCAACAGACATGTGTAGATCAACAATGGATAATATGGAGTGCGGGAGAGAGTACGACCATGCAGCGTTTAAAGCTTGGAAGTACTGACATTACTTTGACTTTCCGTAAAAAGTGACAAAAACATTAGCGTCCGCTGTTCACTCTGCGGGGGAAGAAAACTTCTTTCCTCAGCGTTTCAAATCCGAGCAAGCACCCAGCAAGCCGCCACATGAATGTGAAATTCACAGATCACCCCGCTGACATGACCGCTGCGACAGGACTCAGTGCCGCTGGATCTTTGATTTTATTTATTTATTTTTTTGTGTTTTACTTGCATCTATTTGAAAGAGTGAGTGTAAACACAAATCATTATTTTATTTTATATGCTGGAATATGCAGAAAATAGGTTTAAATGTTCAACAATTTCTTAATTTCAAAGACAGTTGCATATATAAATTTTGCTTAATGCAATGTGCATAAAATTAAAAGATTAAAACTAATAAAACATTTTTTAAAAAGAGGCTTTCCATTTGATTATGCATAAAAAAAATAGAACTGGGCTGAAAGTTTTATTGCTTCTATTGCTACGTATTTAGGTTGTGTATTATGTTTTTAAAAAGTAACTAATTAACTAAGTAACTAATTACTTTTGAAAATAAGTAATCAGTAAAATAATGGGATTACTTTTCTGGAGAAGTAATCAGTAATTGGTAACTAATTACTTTTTTCAAGTAACTTGACCAACATTGGTGTGAAGAAACAAAAAAATTTAGACAAGCAGACTGTTAGACAGTCCATGATTGTGAAATGTCTTTGACAAAGACACTAAATCTTATGTGCTTTCATGCAGCAGTATCTGCTACATGCTACCTTTTTCATTCTGACTACTTCACTTCATAGCCTGCACTTAAAGTAGCTGCATTACACTGCACTGACAAGATGTCACCATGTGGGAGTTGGAAAAACTGATGTTGAAGATGTGACAGATGGGACTGATCTTTTCTTTTTTCCCAGATACATAACTTATGCCTCGCATGCCTTGCTGCGTGAATTTATGCTGACAAGACCAGTCACCCTGAGCAAAACTGTCTCAGCCAAGTGTTCTAATTTTGGAAGTGATACAGAGCTGCAAAAGCAGCAGTATCTTTACAGCTAAATGACTTTTTACAGCGCCGTCACGGCCTCGGTCTTCTGTTCAATCAGCTGTTAAGCATTGGCTTGGAAATATTTACCTTCCCAAGCATTTCTGCAGATTCAAAAATCCATACAGAATGAGTGACACCAGCATTTTAAAAATCTTGTAAACAAGATATGAGGTCTTTATTTTCAGTCAAAAGACATTTCTACTAAAAGTGAGAATTTACAGTATTGAAGCAAAAACCACGTCACACACTTATTTATCTGCAGAACAATCCACACAGTGACTTTAATATCATTGTGCTTATTTGTACAGCATTATAAAATCAGCATAAAACCAAGAACTTGTCTACTACCAGAGACTGAAAGTTTAAAGCTGACATCTACTTGATTTTTGTTGTATTATTATTATATCATTGCGCAGGTTGTATATGCCAAAATAGCAAGTTGTCAAACTAGTGATACAACCAATAAGTGGCAGGCAGTTCGTGTAGACAGTCTACTTAAAGTCTTGAAGGATATGTTCCCCAGTCTATCAGGAGGTTTTCTGATTTTAGTTACAGGTGCAAAATACAAGAATAATATACAACGTCCCTAAAAAATAAGAATATTTCGTTTTCAACAGGCTTTTGACAGATTCCTAAAATATTTGTGTTTTTGTGCTTTCATGCCAGACACCCTAATAAATTTGTTAAGAACTGTATAGCATATATATTCTGTAATG